GACAGACGGACAGGGCTAAATCGACTCAGCTCGTCACCCTGATCAAGAATATACAATATACATATACATACATTGTGGGGTCACCCAGGCCTCCTTCTGCCTGTTACATACATTTCAACATTATACCCCGATTTCAGGGTATAAAAACATGTTCACTCTTTTTAAACTGCTATGAGATTTATACTGTTTGTGACGCGGGACTATAATATTCTGTATTTGTGAATTGTTTTCAAATTTATGTAAGATATAAAGATGTGTGTATGTACATACGTGACATCATTATACAATACACATTTCTTTCCTACATACGAACATACATATGTATGTCCTGAACAAATCCAACATTTTGCAAATCAAGGTTTATAGGCGTTTTACTTATTTAATTAAAAATGCCTCAAATTTTAGTGAATGAACTAAATTTAGAATTCGTTGATTGGACTACGACGCAGCAACAGCTGCACGCAGCCGGAAATTCTAAAATTCGGCACGTCTCGAGCACCTTCCATTAAAACTTTATATCAAGAGGGCTTTAGGTAGAAGCAATCATAGAAGAATATTGAGACGTGCCCAAACACATATTTTCAGAACTTTTTCGCAGTCGAAATGTCGTTGAACTATTTAATTTTGATGTTTCCGAGAGCTAAGCGCCAAAGATTAAGGGGCAGCCTTAGCTGATTGGAAATGGAGGCTGGAAGCTGTCGTAAGTTTTGATAGCAAACAAGAATATGTGTACATATGTACGGTGGATGTCCCTTGAGAAAGATAACTGACTTCTAAATCAAATAGAATATAATAGCATTTTAAGCTGTCGCTGATAGGGTCAAAGTGCAACCGGCACGTGCCACTCGGTTACAACGCCGACTATTTAAGCCATGACCCACGCCAACGTGGAGCAGTTCGAAGCGAATCAAACGAGCTGACAATCATGAAACTACAATTGGTTTTGCTCATTGTATGCCTGGTTAGCAACTGCAGGGCTCAGGAGGAACCAGAGGAGCAGGTGAGATCTTTTGAGGAAATCAGTAGCCAAATCTCAACATTCGAACGTCATCCCTCACCAGGAACAGGAAGCAGAGGCAGGTGAAGCAGCAGCTCCTCTCAATCATGGGGACCGCCGGCCGAACACGAGCAACGCTGGCATACGTCGCATTTTGGACGAGAATACAAAGGTTCTACGACAATTGGACAACATGGCGCAAGGGATAAGCAACTCGCAGAAGGGCATTGAGGGTAAGTTGAGGCTGTTGGGTCAGGATGTCGCCGGCATTGAACGCCTGGAGGATGGCCTCAAGAAACTCGAGCTGAGCACAGCTGCGAATTTTCATCTTACGGCACATGGAATTCGTAACCTGACCTCTAGCATTCGAGCAGCTGAGAATAAAACGGATTGGGCTCTCTTGAATCTTGCACGTGGGCAGCAGGATATCAAGCAGTTGATTTCCAAGGTCGATGCCAATCAGAATAAGCAAGAGCGTAGCCTCGATCAAGCTGCCAAATCCGTGACTCTGCGTCTCTCAGCTCTGGACAACTTGCTCAAGCAGTCCGTTCTCAAAGAAGTAGTGGCCCTCGTCCAAGTGGCAAAGAAACTGGAGCAGTCCCAACGACAAATTGAGAACAAGGTCGGCCATCTGGATGAATTGACCGCGTTGTCTGGCTTAACAGCCAGCAAGGTGCAGCAGTTGGAGCACGGAATGCGCTCCATAAACAGCACGCAGCAGCGCCAATTGGCTGCAATCGGGCACACGATAGAACATGTAGGAGCCAGCACCTGGCAGATCGACAATAAGCTCGGCGTACTGCTCAGCACACAGAAAAACATTGAACGTGCCTTGGTCGAATGCAAGAAATGTTTCCCCTCCCACAAGCAGCCGGAGCATCCACATGATCGTTGGGAACAACCTGGATATATATCCTACGAGTAGGTTAAGCAATTATTAATAACTGTTCGGTTCAAAAACTGTTTCTTTTTCTCTTCTTTTTGCCTTCCTCTTCCACTCTCCTATCGCTGTACACTGCAGTCACAAGGAGGTAAATAAGCCATCTTCAAAGGAATATGAAAACAGTTATGATCATGCCGACGAAACCTCCTATCTGTACCAGCTTTGGTATGGAAAGGACGATAAATAGATGACCTATAACTACAGTATTGTTGATCTAACCTCAACTGGTTGTGCAATCAGAAAGCAAGCGCATAAAATCTGTAACATTTCTTAATTATTTGAAAGCAAAAGCGGAACTTTTTATTTAGGATTTTAAACTAAAGAATTAATAGTTGTCTTTTAACTAACAAATGCACCAATTGAGCCCCTATTGTCTTTTATAGTGGACAAACACTTGTAACAGATTTTGTACACACATGTCACACTTACAAATTGTTAATAAAGTTATTTGTTGTTAAAGATTTTTTGGATCTAAAGGAATAGCGTGGTCATCTGTTGACTCGAAATTGACGACCAGCTGCGAATCATATTGATTCTTATGCTCGGAACGATGCAAATTCTTTTTGGCCAGCGTGCGAAATTCTGCCATTGACATGCCTGTCTCGATTTTTTCGCTACTCGCATCGGGTACTAAGGGATACAAGTCGTCGCCGGGTAGTAGATGAACGAAGCCATCTGTACATTTGTATATTACAGGATGGATGACCACGTCTCTCTCGAATGAGCGCTGCTGAGCAAACAGGCGCAATTGTTCGAGCTTCTGAAAGTTCAGACAACGCGAAAGTTCGTAATATTGTGGCGGTGGTAGCCATAGTTCTTTCTTGAGCGCAGATTTCAGATAGTCCAAAGGAGCACGCCACTGTTAAGGCCACCATATATGTACATATAAGAGAAATTAAATATATGTAAGTTCGGGAATCAAAAATACAACCTAATTACTATTTTTGTTCTAATCAACACAGGTAGATAGACAAGGTCTAGTTGGATGTTCGCGAATAGACGTAACTCTGATCATCGGGCGAGCTCATTTTCAAATATTTGATAATGGCGTTATTTAGGAAATGGTTAGCGTTTTGAAGAAAACGCAAGATCGGTTAAGATAAACCACATCTCTGAGATCTTTGTTGAACAAGCCTTGTTCTCTTTCTTGCTATGTTAATGCTCGTCGTATGCAAACCTTATAATCCTTCACTTCATTAGGCTCTGTTAGCACCTGCGGCTGGGCTTGGAGAGCAGCTAAAAAGAAGACTGTTTCGAACCGCTTCGGGAAAGTAGACGGCGTACGCCAAGCGGACCATTCATGCAACGACCACAGATCGGGCACCACATCTAACTCTTCGCAGAGCGTCAAATACTTGCTGGCATCGTTGTGGACAATGCGTTGCCAATGCTGCCGATCAAATTGCTCATTGAATTGTGCATACCCATCGGTTCTGGTCAGAGTCTTGCGATCACGGCACAGCAAAATACCCATTTCTTCGAAAGTCTCCCGTAAAGCAGTCAAACGTAGTGCAACAGCACTATAACGGGAAAAAAAAAGGATAAAGCAATAATTTGATAATCTATTCGCAATTTCTACTTTACGCATTAAGGGTTTCATTAGAGCCCTTCGTACTCGCAGCTCCTTTGCATATCTTCTTTAATTTCTCAGCACTCCCATTGTAGCGATTAAAGTGTCTTAGCCAAACTGGTGAGCTGTCCACAGTTTCACAAACGCCACCGGGAAACACTGAAGCGTCGGGCATGAAGGTTGACTTAGAGTTACGCGTAAGGAGTAGCGCCTGTAAATATTTAAATAGATTACGACATTGCGATACATATCAAGCAAACTATACATACATTATAATCTGAGCTGGCGGGTGCAACTTTAGTATCCCTAGACAATAGTATAAGACTAGCCGAATGACGAATTTTATCAACAACTTTTTTCGCCATAATTTAGGTAATAAAAGCAATAACAACAAATAGATCTATCGATCTAGTTGATGGTATAGCTGCCAATGCACTATCGATTGGCGATAGGTTGCCAACCATCAGTCGACAGTCGATCTAGCAGCTGCTTGACTTCAACCACTGACCAAACAACACATAGACTAGACATGTAGTACAAAGTTTTTCAACACCGAAAAATCTGCCTCTTAGGTCCTATCACTGACCAAACAGTGGTCCTATCGAATTCGAATTTGCCTAGCAGCTGCTTGACTTCAACAATATTATGTATCGATATCTTTAATTTATTTGGACAGCTGTTGAGCTTCAGCTGCGCGGTGCAAAGGTTGAAAATAAAATATGATTTATTAAGGTTTTACTGCTACAGAAGCCACGCTAAGTTGGCAATCGTTAGTATGGCTAGCTCAGATCAGATCCAATATAGGCCCTCAGCTAGTTTAATATTGGCAAACAAACAAGTGTTCCATGCAAAAAAAGAATTCGATTATAACGTAAGAGTAAATAATAGTATTATTCATGTTCAACCAAAAAAGATTGCCACTTATTACTGACAGCTATTACTAATGAAACGGACAGAGCGCACATCGTATGCACTTAATCACTGTGTCTTTCCTGGAGGCGTGTTCGATGCCCAGGCAGATGAATCCGCCGATTGGTTGATCTACTTCCAACAATGCGGTGTTTCCCGGGACCAGCTAAAGTTATTGCACAGCCGGCAATCGATGGGTAGACCGGAGCTCATGACCCAAGGGTTAGAGTTCTCACGTGATATCTCACTTCGCCTAACAGCGCTACGAGAAGCCTTTGAGGAAGTGGGCATTCTGTTGTGTCGCAAGAATCTCAAGAATTTGAAAGGTGGACAGCCAGCGCAGGTGGTGCAACTGTTCGATCGTGAATATTGGCAGCAGCGAGTGCACAATGATGCGCAGCAATTTCTTGTCCTCTGTCGACATTTAGCTGTTGTGCCAGATCTGTGGGCACTCAACGAGTGGTCCATTTGGCGTACACCAGCATCTGCCGCGAGTCGCAAATACGATACGGTCTACTATTTGGCTGCCTTGGACCTTGACTGCAACGTGGACTTGTTACTTGAACCAACTGAAGTAGCTGCGGCTTACTGGCTACAGCCTTCTGACTGTTGGCTTCAAAGTCGAGAGGGCCTTATTTGGTTACCATATATATTGCTTTACGAGACGGCGCGTCTCATGAGCATTCAACGTTGGCAGCAGTTGCTACAATTTGCATATGAGCGCAGTCCACAAGGATCTACACTGCTTCAGCCCATCTATTATCGCACAAATGACTGTCTCATTGGCGTGCTTCCAGGCGATGAGCTGTACTTGCCGGAGCCGGAGTACTGCAACGAATCCATAGTATTGCCGTGCTCTATTAGTGAACTTAATGCTGTAGCCAAGCGCTTCAATCGGTATATGATTTACAGCTTTCAACATGTGGATTTTGCTTGTAATGTGCATCCACTTGACGGACATTTTCCGCTGCAAACGCGTGTCAATGCGCTGCTAGCCAAATTATAAAAAGACAGTTAAGTACTTCGACATAAACTTCGATTTAATTAGATTAAGGTGCCGCTACTTAGCTCAGCTTGTATATTCCGACATGCATGACACAATTCTGCTCTTTCGTTCAAACGCTCTAAGACGCGTTGTTCCAGCACGTCACAGCTGCTCTTTATATGTAGCTCCACGCCGACTTCGGAGACAGCACGCGAGTACTCAATTGCTAGCAAAGTGTCGGAGATTTCATCATCAAGTAGAGATTGGCACAGCGCACAGTGAGAAGCCTGAGTTTCTATGGAATTTCGTTTAGGGGCAATTTTATCACCTGTCCGAAAAACTGTCGACACTGTGGATGCATAATTCAACTGAAGATTGTCCACAAAGTCCCTAGTCAAGTTCTGCAGGCAACCTCCGGATAATGGATAATGACTAGGAGCGTCCACACGAAATGCTTGAAGCTCTTGTGCATGAACATAGAACTGTACTTCCTGATCGTTGAGATCCTTCAAAGGACGCAACAACTTGACATCTCCCATCAGACGATCATCCAGCAAGGCGACATCCAGCGCAACGCTTGCCCCGCGCCCCAGAGCCACGGATGTCAGAAGCTGTGTAGCCAAGGTGACACTTATGCTGGGCTCAAAGACATAAGAACACTTTAACTTTTCAGCCACAACACCTATGAGGAATTTACGTTTCTGCTGCATGTAGTCCTGACGGGAAGTCGAACTGTTAAATTTATCCAGAATCGAGTCCAACTGGCGGGGTGTGTAGTCCTTAAGCAACTGTAAGCTTTGGGGGTCGCCATCTAGCTGAATTACATAAAACTCAAAGGGTTCATAACGCCGCTTTAGCCCATTAAGAGCTAGTAAAAGACTCTCTTCTTCCTCGATGGGCGAACAACGAGCATCAATGTAAAGAACACGGGCATTGCAGTGCAACCGCTTAAACGTATTTTGTGTTTGAGCAAAGTGAACCATATCCAGTAGCACCAGAGACTCTGAGCTACCATCAATCACCAGCAAAATTTCAGCATTGCGTGGCAGCACTTTCGCAGCTCCTAACGCAGCACGGAATTTGTGCCTTACATACTTGAGAAAACATTCTCTACATTCAGCCGATCGAAAGTTTAGTTTGTAAAGCTGTAGTGAGTTTTGGTCGCACTTGCTGCAGATGCCAGCACTAAAAACCATGCCAGTTGCTGAGCAGCCAGGCAACATTGCATGTGTGCCACCTTCATCGCCAAATTCATCTTCGCCAATGCTGCACATTATAGATCAACTTCAACAAATACTGAAATATAAACCAACCTACTCACTAAAGAATAGGCGCGTGCACATGTTAGGTATGATATATTAAACGATAACAATATAAGTTAGAGCATGCAGAGGTGCTATTGATTTCGATATCAATTGTATCGATTGGAAGTGCGATATGCAGTAGCCAAGTTGTCAAGCAAGCAACCTTGCGACTAGTAATAAAGTGCAGTGAAAAATATAAAAACTATTAAAAACTGTGACTTATTGTTAAAAGCATATTGCATACGTTTAATTAAATGCATAAGGTATGTTTGAAGTGTTGAAATATAGAAAACTGCAAAGCTAATTCCTAAAATTAAAGCGCACAGTTTTAGCTGCTACCATTGCATGTGTGAGTGCAAATGTAATGTGTATGTGTCGCGTATGTATATACGGCTGCGTGCGTGTGTGTGGCTGTAGTACGCAAGCAAAGTATCGGATGGCAAAATCGAGAAACTTTCTTATTGGAACATACACAAACGAATGGCTGCCATAGTGGTGAGCCTTCAAGCCAGCTGTCAGACAAAAAAGAAGAAAACTTACATCAATATTGTGTAAAGCAAAAATAAAATAAAAAACAAACAAAAATTCGCACAGCCTGCTGTGTGAATGAAGTCCACCAGTACTGCCCTTATGGCAAAACTACAATAGTAATAAACCAGTAATAATAATAATAACAGCAATAGGATACAGCGTGTGTAATAAACTTTAAAATTCGAAGTATTGCGAGTACTTTACTTAAAGTATACAAATGTAAATAACATGTGTTAATATTTTTGTGTATTTGCAGCATTCTAGCTAATATTGAACATATATATACATTTATACATATATATACGTATAGCGTATAGTGCAGTTGGTACAAAGCGCACCCTTCAGTGAGTGTGAGAGAGACAAAGTGAGCAGAGTGTGGCAAAGGTCATATTAAAAATAAGTACATTTCGGCCCCCCAAAACGACAACAAAAAGGAAAGCTACAACGCAAAGCAACGTATAAATCAGAGCGCATACAACATTTGGGGCCATTCAATAAAATGATATTGGAAAACTCGGATAAGCTCAAGGATTGGCTGAGCGTTGTGCTCGAGCCACTGTAAGTAATCGAATCGGTCGCACTATCGAATGAGTTTCGATTAAAGAGTTACATTAAATGTTTCTTTGTTTTTACTATATATTTGCATTTGTTTAGCTGTGATGCTGACTCCTCGGCTTTGGCGCGCTATGTAATTGCGTTGCTGAAAAAAGACAAATCGGATAAAGATCTCAAACGCATCATGATCGAGCAATTGGATGTGTTTCTTTCAGAGGAGACGACACGATTCGTCGATCGTCTATTTGATGCGATTGCCAGCGAAGAGTATTTATCAATGCCCACTCCAATGCCCGTAACAACAGCTAACATTGCTGAACTGGAGCTCGAACCTGATTTAGATGGTGTAGCTGACATTGAGGCTGTTGTTAACTTATCACCGCCGACGCCGCCATCAACAACCGCGTCAAAAGACATTGTGATAAAAGCCGATAGCAATCAAGAGCACTTAAGAAGCGATAATTGCAGCAGAGAAATCGCCATCGACGCGTCCAGTGCACCAATGCCAACAGATGCCAATACCACGGGTACACACAGCACCAAGATAACCTTCGATGTAGGTATAGAAAATTGTAAACCATCAATGATTCTAATGGGTTCATTTTGATTGCAGCACAAAACCAAAGACTCGCACAGCCAGCAGCAACAGCTAATGCATCATCATCACAGCAGCACTAGTGGAGGTGGCTCAGTAAACGCATCAGGCTTTGTGCGTAGCGCTAGTCCGCCTCTGCGTAGCAGCGGCCCAGCTGGTGCCTATGCCGCTGATAAAGAGAATCAGCCTCGTGATAGTCGCCGAAGACGCGCTTCTTTGCGCTCTCGATCTCGCTCCCGTTCCCGTTCCAATGAACGTTCGTTTAGGCGATCACGGTCACGAGATCGTCGCATCAATGAGCGCGAGAAGAGCCAGCGTCAGTTCCGTAATAAGTCGCCGCCGGGTGGTACGAGTGAACAACGACACAGACGAAGCAACAACAATAACAGCACCAACAGCACGAACAACTTTGACAGGCGACGAATCGGCAACAATAATAGCAGCAACAACAACAGCAGCATGGATGAGCGCACTCAACGGTTCGGCAAGAGTCGCCACTCTCCACGCAGTCGTTCCATTTCACCCGAATCGCGCAATGTACGGCGTGGTGTCAACATCAACAGCAACAACGTTAACAACAGCGCAAACAGCATGGAAGCAGCGGCTTGCTCCACTGCTGCCGTGGTAGCCCCTGCTGTGCCTATGCCGTTGCCCGTTTCGCATCCTGTTGCTGCAATGGGGCGTCAACGCTGTCGCGACTTCGATGAGAAGGGATACTGTGTGCGCGGCGAAACCTGCCCCTGGGATCATGGAATTAATCCTGTGGTATTTGAAGGTATAAACAATTCAGCATTGATGATGTCCATGCGCGAGTACAATCCCGATGCACCTGAGATTTGGGCACGTGGCGGCCCTGCTGGAGTTCCCGGCGTGCCTCAGCCTGGCGGTGGTCCACCGCAGGCACTACCCGTGCCGCCGCAGGGTGGCCCATCGAACATTAATCCATTCAGTGGAAATGTGCGTTCCTGTGCGCCGCACGGTGTGCCCAATCCTGCTGATTATGCGCGCCAGCCAGGGCAGCCGCCGCAAGTACCTGCACCGCCGCCGATGATGTCGTTCCCTTTTAATCCGACAGCCGTGACAACGCCGTTGCAACGCCAACTAATACCCATACCAGTAATGGATGGAGGCGTTGGAGGCGGGGTAGGCGGCGGCGGGGGTGGTGGGCTGGCTGCTGACATGGGAAAACGGCGTTTCGAGCTGGAGGATAGTGTGGCCATAGCCGATGTGCCCAGTAAAATGCGCAAGCTGCCAATTAATAGTCGCCTAGGACCTCGCGTCAATCCCAATATGCAACAGCACAATAGTTCCCTGGAGCTGCGGAAAGTGCCGCGTGGACTGAACACCATAGCGCATCTGAACAATCATTTCGCCAAGTTTGGCAAAATTGTTAATATCCAAGTGTCATACGAAGGCGATCCGGAGGCGGCAATCGTCACATTCTCGACGCATGCGGAGGCAAATGTTGCTTATCGCAGCACGGAGGCAGTGCTCAATAATCGCTTCATCAAGGTTTTCTGGCACAACGACAACAGCAATAGCAGTAGCATTAATAACAACAATAGCAATAACATCATCAATGATTCGGGCAACCCGAATGTGAATCGCAAGAGTCAATATCATTTGCATAACGTGCCTGCAATGCCGACGCCTAATGCAGACAGCGCCAAGATAACCAACACGAGCAACAACAACAGTCAACCCAACCAGTCCACACCCCTTGTAGACACAAATAATGCATTGGCAGCTCCAACTACGGAGCAGGGACTGGCAATCACCGCAGCACCCGCCTCCATGCGTCTGAAGCTCAATGCGAACGCGACAGCGGCTAATGCGTCAGCGACTGGTGGAGCAAGAGCCCTAACGCCAGCAGTGAATGCTGCGAGCATACGAAAAAAGCAGGAGGAGCAACAAAAGGCAATGCACCAGCTAGCGAATGGGCTGCGCAAGCGTAAGCAGGAGCTCCTCCAGAGCTATGTGAAGCAGATGAAGACAGCACTAGAACTGGTTGAGCGTATGGATCAGCAAGATGCGCAGCGTGCTCCGACGCTGGAAACGATCAAAGTTCTGCAGGCAACGATTGATAAGCTGCGCAAAGATGTGCATGCTGATCAGGATCAGCTCCAGGCTCAAATCCAGCAACAGCATCAACAACAGCAGCAAACGCTTCCCGTGAAGAAAACCAAAGAGCAACAGAAAAAAGAACTGCTTGATATGGAGCTTGAGCTAATTGCCCAGCAACAGGAGGGCAACGATACAACGGCTATACAGAAGCGTCTCGAAGAGCTGCAGCGCACGCTCTCTGCATCAACTGGAGGTGGCTCCTTGTCTGGCGGTGGTGGTGCCAAGCTGCCCGGTGGCGGTGCACGTAAACGTGCCACATATCCCGAGGGGCCGACCCGTGTCGACCGACGACCAAAAGCAATTGTAGTCACTGGCTTCGCCGCTGAGGAAGCTGATTTTGTGCTGGGTCACTTCAAGGTGAGTGCTGCAACCAAAAAAAAATCACTAGGCTATCATACGAGATTTAATAAATTGAAGTGCAGTTTATATACATATACATACTATAAGGTCAATCGCTTATTTACGACTTATTTATTAAATTCACTCATGAACTTGAGAAGTTCACAGAGTTTACATCAGCCAAGTAGCATTGAATGACTAATAAATATATTATGACATTCACTAGTTCACTTTACTGATCATACCAACGTTATTTCTTAGCATTTCGGCGAGATATCTAAGCACGATGTGGACCGTGAGATACCCCAATTAATAATCTCGTACGCCACACGTCTGAATGCTGAGCAAGCAGTGCTCCGTGGCAAAATATACAAAGATAAGCGCCTGCAGGTGAGTCTCAACTAACGGTCAACATTGATTATTAGTTTCACATCACAATTATATCTTATCGTTACCAATTCCAATGCGCAGATATCATGGGCGCCAGTGGTGTCAACTCCCGCCGTTGTACCCATGGGTGCACCGGCTGACAAATCACCGGGAGCGTTAATTTCTTCAACAACTGGTGATAAGCTGGATAATCCGAAGCAATTGTTGCATTCATCGGTCAGCGAGAGCGAATCTCTGCTGGGCAGCGATACTCTGCCAGAGCTGCGGCTCGAAGATGAAGAGGAGGATGAGGAGTCTGAGGATCGTTCCTGGCGTCGTTGATTAATCGCCATGTACTGCTCTTAGTGTCTGTCTAGCGGCTCTACGTGGCTCCTGATCGTTAAGAAAACATTAATTTTGTTTCTATTTGTTGTTATTCTATATGCAAAACATGCAAGTACCCATAAACTTATATATGTATAT